TCTCTCATATACTGTGTTCTAGTACTATTTTGTTGCGTTTGGTTGATGTGGGCAGCGCAGTGGCACCAAAGAACTGGCAACTCTGAGAGCTCGTGTGGTCTTTATTTAGCTTTCTTATTGGCTTGAAAAAATAGTGAATGTTACATGCGTATAATATTATTGCCTAATTGTGTCCATTTGGTTGTGTGAAAGACTTAAGTGGCCGACCCATTGACGGAATACACCTTTATCTATCCAGATTATTTCACACAATCATCTTTTTAAAAATTGTGCATATTCTAGATAGACGCCTTTCCCTTTTGGTTTCGTGACCTAAAAGCAGTTGTCCCGAAAACATCTGGCCTATTAATTGCTCCAACCCGTCAACCCTCCTCCGCCAGCCAGAGGGAGCTGCTCAGCACATCATTATCAGTCAACCCTGGCGTGTGGTCTTGTGTGTGCACATGTTTACACAGCAGTGGTTTTAACTGTATGCTATGGGCAAACATCTCTGTCCATTGATGTGTGTGTGTGTGTGACGTCGTTAGTTTATTGATTTCGGTCTTGAACTGTTTAGTTCCTCATGAAGGCATAAGTGACATGCACAGCCGCTGTGACCTATATTACAAGATCAAAGTCCCGGCTCATATGCTTACAGGAGCATATTGTATGTCTTTCAAACTGATGGACTTTAATATGAATATTTCTAATATATTAGTTTGAGCCTCAACCTGGTGTTTCAGCATAGTTTGTTTTTTCCCCCCACCCCCCACACCCCCCCCCCCCTAAAATATATCCCCCCCCCCACCCCCCTCCTTTATTTTTTTTTTTTTAATAGTATATATATATATTATTATCTGCAGGATAGTGTAAGAACCTCCAATGTGTGTCACTTTTATTTAAACTTTAGCCTCATACATCATATTAAAGTTGATCTCTTTTCTCGCCAGCATGCATTAACTCCACCTGGCGTGTATCCATTGGACATATCTTCCATTAGTGGTATAGCAATCTTGAGATGCATCATTCGGTTTTCAGGAGGGTCCTCAAAAATAGCAGTATTGTAATCACCAGTGTTTGTCTTTTAGTTGCAAGATCACTCATATAATAAGCACAAACTCTCTGTGCTGTTGTCTCCAAATTGCATTTTGGCGGAAAGACGTGTTAGGCTCCATGAGCAGGAATCTTGGAGTTATGAAATAAATATAGTATTCAGAATCCAGATTCATTCTATTCACACATTCTCACCAATTCACCCAATTAAATTTTGAATGAACAAATATGAAAATGTCAACTACAGACTGGAAGTTAAAACACATAAGCAGTTGTTTTCTCTGTTTAGTGCTATGGACATGTGGTCAAGACGTGTAAAATGCAGTATTTGTTGTAGCAGTCCCAAAGGTCAGTTTACAAACACATGTGTACATTAAAGATGTTAATCATGATTTGAGCACCTAAAAGGCATATGTGTTGATTTGAAGTTCTTGCTCAATGGCTTAGATCTAGTCTATCGTCCCCCTACTGGTTCTAGAATGGAAATTTTGTCGTGGTCAAACATTTGTTCAATGATAAAGCTAATTTACTGAGACTGTTGTGCAAGCCCCACTTTTCTGTGCCCAACACAAATAATCTTTGGTCTATAAACATGCACAAGATGTGCAAAAGTTGCTTCGGCCTAATTGCTGTAGTACCTCAGAACGTCCTCTTTGAAAAACGGTGGATCGTGGATAAAATGACTTACATGTTATGTTTACTGTTAGTTGCTGTAAAGCAATTTGCATACAACTAAAGTTGTTCTCCCTTTTAGTCTCCTCCACTAAGAACGCAAACTGGAGAAGGCCCTGGAAAACCCGACTGTCGTCTCCGCTTCCAGAGGTGGGCTCAAAATCGCTCCAACAAAAGCCTCAGCGCTCGGCTGCACTGGAAGTGGCTCCTGTGGAGGCTGTCACTGCCTTCTGGAAAAGTCTTTCACTGAGCTACCGAGTTAGTCATAGCATCAGCACCAACTGTTTCATCATGCTTCACTGCGCGCAAGGATATTGTTCTCAACTTTTGGATTCACCTTGGGGCGGTCCTGTCTCCTAGGTTGAGAATCCACAGTTGCTTTCAAAAGTTTTTATATCGCTGTAAACCTTTACACATTTATCTTGGTCACTGAACACATCTGTAGGTAATGTAAGAAATCTAAAGGATTCTGACGACGTGTGACAAACAATTGTGAAGTAAACGCACAAGCTCAAGACGTGCACTCTCAAAAGACACACCACGACCACAAAACTTTTACCTTTCTCACACACACTGAACACACATCACACACACCTGAAACACACCTACACAACCTACAACATAATCCATGTTAACAGGTTACAGTTATTACCGATACTTCTCCAACATTGAATACTGATCGGAAAGGACTTGTATATAATAACAGTGGGGCAAAAAAGTATTTAGTCATGCCCACTGATTGTGCTCAGTTTATTTTTTTTTTTTTGTTCCCACTTAAAATAATGACAGGTCAACACAGACTTTCATACTCCCTCCACAGATATTTTCATGGGGTTGTGTCTGGGAACTGGCTAGGCCACTCCAGGACTTTCAAATGCTTCTTACGAGCCAACTCTTAGTTGCTCCGGGCGTGTGTTTGGGATCGTTGTCATGAGGAGACCCAGCCAAGGGTCACTCTTCAAAGCTCTCACTGTGGCAGGAGTTTTGCACAAAATTCACCGATACATTGGCCTCCCAGTCATTCGGATCAGTTGTCTGTCCCTTATGCAGAAAAACGGGCCCCAAGCATGACGTTTCCACCCCATGCTTCACACTTAGGTTTGGAGTGTTTTGGGAGGCCACTCCGTATTCTTTCTTCTCAAAACACATACGAGTTGAGTTTATACCAAACAGATTCTACTTTGGTTTCATCTGGACCACCTGACATTCTTCCATCCTCTGCTGTATCATCCATGTGCTCTCTGGCAAACTTCAGACGGACCTGGGACATGCACTGGCTTCAGCAGGGGGGACACGTCTGGCACTGCAGTATTGATTCCCTGGCGTCGTAGATGTGTTTACTGATGGTAACCCTTTTGTTACTTTTGAGTCCCAGCTCTCTGCAGGTCATTTCACCAGGTCCCCCGTGTTGGTTCTGGGATTTTTGATCACCGTTCTCTTGATCATTTGGACCCCACGGGTATGAGATCTTGCGTGAAGCCCAGTTCGAGGGAGATTATCAGTGGTCTTGTATGTTCTTCCATTTTTCTGATACTTGGCTCCCAAGTTGATTTGTTCACACACGCTGATTGCTATGTCGAGTCAATCTTCCAGTCTGGGTGCAGGTCTCCAATTCTTTTCCTGGTTGTCCTTCCGTCAGCTCTTTTGGTCTTGGCCTCCATAGTGGAGTTTGGAGTCTGACCTGTATGAGGCTGTGGACTGGAGTCTTTTATACAGAATAACGAGTTCAAACACGGTGCAATTAATACAGGTAACGAGTGGGAGGACGCAGAAGAGCTTCTTAAAGAAGAAGTATACCAGGTCTGTGAGCGCCAGAAATATTCCTTGTTTGAAGTGACCCAAATACTTATTTTCCGACCATCTATTTACAAACAAATTCGCTTTAAATTATATCCTACAATGTGAATTCCTGGATTTTTTTTTTTCCACAATCTGTCACAGTTGAAGTGATACTATGATGAAAATTACAGACCTCTGTCCTTATTTTAAGTGGGAGACAACTTGCACAATCGCTTGGCTGACTAAATACTTTTTAGCCCCACTGTATACATATTATCTCATATCATATATGTTTCTCCCAGGTCTCTTTAACAAGTTCCTGTCGAAAGCAAGAAACGAGCCTGTTATGACAGCTGTGGAGAACCCATGGATCCATGGTCGTCAAAGACGACGTGAACAGAGACGGCAGTTGAGAGAGATTCCAAGAGCACCCATCAAAATTCTCCAAACGCTGCTGCAATCTATAGCACCAATCCCTCTACAAGTGAACACGCCAATAAATGGCAGCAAGACGTCGACGTGGTCAAACCGCAGAGCACCACCGTGCCAGAGAAGAACCCGAGGGCCCCCCCACCGGATTGACCGCCCGTTTTGAGCTGCTAAAGAATACTCGATTACTTTTACAGAAACCCAGCTGCCCTGGTGCAGCGGATGTTTTTATTCAATGTTTGCTGAATGTGATGTTTGAGGAAAAAGATGTACTGGTGGAGATGCACAGGTTCGAGGGTCAGAACTCAACAGACCTAATGGAACGCCAACCTGCACGTTCCTCAAGAACACACTGCTGAGGTCTATCGCAGTGTGACAGCTTTCAACATTATAGTTGCTTTTCTTTTTTTCAAGCTGACTTTTATGTTTATTCTAGCACATTTTGCAGGTTAGAACTTGAAACTCAAAGGATCTTCATCTTTTACCTGACTGTAACACACTGTAGAAAGCACAAGAGGTGCCACACTTTCATTTTTTCTTTCCTGGTTTCAAAACACCTTGTAGTCTCAATGCTGTTAGGGAAATCACTAAATTGTGAATATGTCTTGACAAGTTACTATTATGTACATTTTTTATATCTGTATTACAATATTACTGCGCGTCGGGTTACCTGGCTCACCACAGACGTGTTAGTGATTTCTTGGTTTTGGTTCACGTCTTTCAGGAGCAGAAAATCTACTAGTCTCACACAAATAAACTTTATTTTTGAGTTTCCGCCTCTTATCATGAATGGATAGTAAACACGGAGGGGGGAAAAGCACTTGGACTTAACCTGGACATACCTTATAAACTCATCTTTTACATTTTGAAGTTAATTACTGAGTTCCTTTTAAATAGGGAAATATTCTGTTACTTGTGATATGTACTCTCATCAACTCTTGAATACTTTGTTTATTTACAACTTATCCACACGTCTTTTATGATTTAAATTCGACATGCATCAACCTAGAAGAAGGAATAACGTGCATTTATGTCCATAGCTCTGTTTATTTCACGTAACATGTTTCCAAGAGGTCCGTTCTGGGCCCATGGATGAATTTTATGTCCATCCACCTCCTCATAACCTCCTCCATCACCTCCTCATCACCTCCTCCATCACCTCCTCCATCACCTCCATCACCTCCTCGTCACCACCTCCTCCATCACCTCCTCATCACCTCCTCCATCCCCTCCTCCATCACCTCCTCCATCACCCTCCTCCATCACCTCCTCCATCCCCTCCTCCATCACCTCCTCCATCTCCTCCTCCATCCCTCCTCCATCCTCCTCCATCACCTCCTCCATCACCTCCTCCATCACCTCCTCCATCACCTCCTCCATCACCTCCTCCATTCACCTCCTCCATCCCCTCCTCCATCACCTCCTCCATCACCTCCTCCATCACCTCCTCACACCTCTCCTCCTCTCCATCCCCTCCTCCATCACCTCCTCCATCACCTCCTCCATCCCCTCCTCCATCACCTCCTCATCACCTCCTACCATCCCCTCCTCCATCACCTCCTCCATCACCCTCCTCCATCACCTCCTCCATCCCCTCCTCCATCACCTCCTCCATCCCCTCCTCCATCACCTCCTCCATCACCTCCTCCATCCCCTCCTCCATCACCTCCTCATCACCCTCCTCCATCACCTCGTCCATCACCTCCTCATCACCTCCTCCATCACCTCCTCCATCACCTCCTCATCACCTCCTCCATCACCTCCTCCATCACCTCCTCCATCACCTCGTCCATCACCTCCTCATCACCTCCTCATCACCTCCTCCATCACCTCCTCATCACCTCCTCATCACCTCCTCCATCACCTCGTCCATCACCTCCTCATAACCCTCCTCCACATCCTCCACCTCCTCACCTCCTCATCACCTCCTCCATCACCTCCTCATCACCTCCTCCATCACCTCATCACCTCCTCGTCACCTCCTCCATCACCTCCTCCATCCCCTCCTCCATCACCTCCTCCATCACCTCCTCCATCACCTCCCATCACCTCGTCCATCACCTCGTACATCACCTCCTCCATCACCTCCTCCATCACCTCCTCATCACCTCCTCCATCACCTCGTCCATCACCTCGTCCATCACCTCGTCCATCACCTCCTCCATCACCTCCTCCATCCCCTCCTCCATCACCTCCTCCATCACCTCGTCCATCCCCTCCTCCATCACCTCTCCATCACCTCCTCCATCACCTCCTCCATCACCTCCTCCATCACCCTTGTCCATCACCTCCTCCATCACCCATCCATCCCCTCCTCCATCCCCTCCTCCATCCCCTCCTCCATCCACCTCCTCCATCACCTCCTCCATCACCTCCTCCATCCCCTCCTCCATCACCTCCTCCATCCCCTCCTCCATCACCTCCTCATCACCTCCTCCATCCCCTCCTCCATCACCTCCTCCATCCCCTCCTCCATCCCCTCCTCCATCACCTCCTCCATCCCCTCCTCCATCACCTCCTCCATCACCTCCCCCATCACCTCCTCCATCACCTCCTCCATCACCTCCTCCATCACCTCCTCACACCTCCTCCTCACCATCACCTCCTCATCACCTCCTCCATCCCCTCCTCCATCCCCTCCTCCATCACCTCCTCCATCACCTCCTCATCACCTCCATCCCCTCCTCCATCCCCTCCTCCATCACGTCCTCCATCACCTCCTCATCACCTCCATCCCCTCCTCCATCACCTCCTCCATCACCTCCTCCATCACTTCTTCCATCACCTCCTCCATCCCCTCCTCCATCACCTCCTCCATCACCTCCTCATCACCTCCATCCCCTCCTCCATCACCTCCTCCATCACTTCTTCCATCACCTCCTCCATCACCTCCCCTCATCACCTCCTCCCTCCCCTCCTCCATCACCTCCTCCATCACTTCTTCCATCACCTCCTCCATCCCCTCCTCCATCCCCTCCTCCATCACCTCCTCCATCCCCTCCTCCATCACCTCCCCCATCACCTCCTCCATCACTTCTTCCATCACCTCCTCCTCACCTCCTCCATCACCTCCTCATCACCTCCTCCATCACCTCCTCATCACCTCCTCATCACCTCCTCATCACCTCCTCCATCACCTCCTCCATCCCCTCCTCCATCACCTCCTCCATCACCTCGTCCATCACCTCCTCATCACCTCCTCATCACCTCCTCCATCACCTCCTCATCACCTCCTCATCACCTCCTCATCACCTCCTCCATCACCTCCTCATCACCTCCTCCATCACCTCCTCCATCACCTCCTCATCACCTCCTCCATCACCTCCTCGTCACCTCCTCCATCACCTCCTCCATCCCCTCCTCCATCACCTCCTCCATCACCTCCTCATCACCTCCTCATCACCTCCTCCATCACCTCCTCATCACCTCCTCATCACCTCCTCCATCACCTCGTCCTCCACCTCGTCGATCACCTCCTCATCACCTCCTCCATCCCCTCCTCCATCACCTCCTCCATCACCTCCTCATCACCTCCTCCATCACCTCGTCCATCACCTCGTCCATCACCTCCTCCATCACCTCGTCCATCACCTCGTCCATCACCTCCTCATCACCTCCTCCATCCCCTCCTCCATCACCTCCTCATCACCTCCTCCATCACCTCCTCCATCACCTCCTCCATCACTCTCCTCCATCCCCTCCTCCATCACCTCCTCCATCACCTCCTCCATTACCTCCTCCATCCCCTCCTCCATCACCTCCTCCATCACCTCCTCCATCACCTCCTCCATCCCCTCCTCCATCACCTCCTCATCACCTCCTCCATCACCTCCTCATCACCTCCTCCATCACCTCCTCATCACCTCCTCCATCACCTCCTCATCACCTCCTCCATCACCTCCTCATCACCTCCTCCATCACCTCGTCCATCACCTCCTCATCACCTCATCACCTCCTCCATCACCTCCTCATCACCTCCTCATCACCTCCTCCATCACCTCGTTCATCACCTCCTCATCACCTCCTCATCACCTCCTCCATCACCTCCTCATCACCTCCTCCATCACCTCCTCATCACCTCCTCCATCACCTCGTCCATCACCTCCTCATCACCTCCTCATCACCTCCTCCATCCCCTCGTCCATCACCTCCTCATCACCTCCTCCATCCCCTCCTCCATCACCTCCTCCATCACCTCCTCCATCCCCTCCTCCATCACCTCCTCATCACCTCCTCCATCACCTCCTCATCACCTCCTCCATCACCTCCTCATCATCTCCTCCATCACACCTCGTCCATCACCTCCTCATCACCTCCTCCATCACCTCCTCATCACCTCATCGTCACCTCCTCCATCACCTCCTCATCACCTCCTCCATCACCTCGTCCATCACCTCCTCATCACCTCCTCATCACCTCCTCCATCACCTCCGCATCACCTCCTCCATCACCTCCTCCATCACCTCCTCATCACCTCCTCCATCACCTCCTCCATCCCCTCCTCCATCACCTCCTCATCACCTCCTCCATCACCTCGTCCATCACCTCCTCCATCACCTCCTCATCACCTCCTCCATCACCTCCTCCATCCCCTCCTCCATCACCTCCTCATCACCTCCTCCATCACCTCGTCCATCACCTCCTCATCACCTCCTCCATCACCTCCTCCATCCCCTCCTCCATCACCTCCTCCATCACCTCGTCCATCCCCTCCTCCATCACTTCCTCCATCACCTCCTCCATCACCTCCTCCATCACCTCATCCATCCCCTCCTCCATACCCTCCTCCATCACCTCCTCCATCACCTCCTCATCACCTCCTCCATCACCTCCTCATCACCTCCTCCATCACCTCCTCATCACCTCCTCCATCCCCTCCTCCATCACCTCCTCCATCCCCTCCTCCATCACCTCCTCCATCCCCTTCTCCATCCCCTCCTCCATCACCTCCCCCATCACCTCCCCCATCACCTCCTCCATCACCTCCTCATCACCTCCTCATCACCTCCTCCATCCCCTCCTCCATCACCTCCTCATCACCTCCTCCATCACCTCCTCCATCACCTCCTCCATCATCCTCCTCCATCCCCTCCTCCATCACCTCCTCCATCACCTCCTCCATTACCTCCTCCATCCCCTCCTCCATCACCTCCTCCATCACCTCCTCCATCACCTCCTCCATCCCCTCCTCCATCACCTCCTCATCACCTCCTCCATCACCTCCTCATCACCTCCTCCATCACCTCCTCATCACCTCCTCCATCACCTCCTCATCACCTCCTCCATCACCTCCTCATCACCTCCTCCATCACCTCGTCCATCACCTCCTCATCACCTCATCACCTCCTCCATCACCTCCTCATCACCTCCTCATCACCTCCTCCATCACCTCGTTCATCACCTCCTCATCACCTCCTCATCACCTCCTCCATCACCTCCTCATCACCTCCTCCATCACCTCCTCATCACCTCCTCCATCACCTCGTCCATCACCTCCTCATCACCTCCTCATCACCTCCTCCATCCCCTCGTCCATCACCTCCTCATCACCTCCTCCATCCCCTCCTCCATCACCTCCTCCATCACCTCCTCCATCCCCTCCTCCATCACCTCCTCATCACCTCCTCCATCACCTCCTCATCACCTCCTCCATCACCTCCTCATCACCTCCTCCATCACCTCGTCCATCACCTCCTCATCACCTCCTCCATCACCTCCTCATCACCTCATCGTCACCTCCTCCATCACCTCCTCATCACCTCCTCCATCACCTCGTCCATCACCTCCTCATCACCTCCTCATCACCTCCTCCATCACCTCCGCATCACCTCCTCCATCACCTCCTCCATCACCTCCTCATCACCTCCTCCATCACCTCCTCCATCCCCTCCTCCATCACCTCCTCATCACCTCCTCCATCACCTCGTCCATCACCTCCTCCATCACCTCCTCATCACCCTCCTCCATCACCTCCTCCATCCCCTCCTCCATCACCTCCTCATCACCTCCTCCATCACCTCGTCCATCACCTCCTCATCACCTCCTCCATCACCTCCTCCATCCCCTCCTCCATCACCTCCTCCATCACCTCGTCCATCCCCTCCTCCATCACTTCCTCCATCACCTCCTCCATCACCTCCTCCATCACCTCATCCATCCCCTCCTCCATACCCTCCTCCATCACCTCCTCCATCACCTCCTCATCACCTCCTCCATCACCTCCTCATCACCTCCTCCATCACCTCCTCATCACCTCCTCCATCCCCTCCTCCATCACCTCCTCCATCCCCTCCTCCATCACCTCCTCCATCCCCTTCTCCATCCCCTCCTCCATCACCTCCCCCATCACCTCCCCCATCACCTCCTCCATCACCTCCTCCATCACCTCCTCCATCACCTCCTCCATCCCCTCCTCCATCACCTCCTCATCACCTCCATCCCCTCCTCCATCACCTCCTCCATCACTTCTTCCATCACCTCCTCCATCACCTCCTCATCACCTCCTCCATCCCCTCCTCCATCACCTCCTCCATCACTTCTTCCATCACCTCCTCCATCCCCTCCTCCATCCCCTCCTCCATCACCTCCTCCATCACTTTTTCCATCACCTCCTCCATCCCCTCCTCCATCCCCTCCTCCATCACCTCCCCCATCACCTCCTCCATCACCTCCTCCATCACCTCCTCCATCACCTCCTCCATCACCTCCTCATCACCTCCTCCATCCCCTCCTCCATCACCTCCTCCATCACCTCCTCATCACCTCCTCCATCCCCTCCTCCATCCCCTCCTCCATCCCCTCCTCCATCACCTCCTCCATCACCTGCTCCATCACCTCCTCATCACCTTCTCCATCACCTCTTCCATCCCCTCCTCCATAACCTCCTCATCACCTCCTCCATCCCCTCCTCCATCCCCTCCTCCATCACCTCCTCCATCCCCTTCTCCATCCCCTCCTCCATCCCCTCCCCCATCACCTCCTCCATCACCTCCTCCATCACCTCCTCCATCACCTCCTCCATCACCTCCTCATCACCTCCTCATCACCTCCACCATCCCCTCCTCCATCACCTTCTCTATTACCTCCTCATCACCTCCATCACCTCCTCCATCACCTCCTCATCACCTCCTCCATCCCCTCCTCCATCACTTCTTCCATCACCTCCTCCATCCCCTCCTCCATCACCTTCTCCATCCCCTTCTCCATCCCCTCCTCCATCACCTCCCCCATCACCTCCCCCATCACCTCCTCCATCACCTCCTCATCACCTCCTCATCACCTCCTCCATCCCCTCCTCCATCCCCTCCTCCATCACCTCCTCCATCACCTCCTCATCACCTCCATCCCCTCCTCCATCACCTCCTCCATCACCTCCTCCATCACTTCTTCCATCACCTCCTCCATCCCCTCCTCCATCCCCTCCTCCATCCCCTCCTCCATCACCTCCTCCATCACTTCTTCCATCACCTACTCCATCCCCTCCTCCATCACCTCCCCATCACCTCCTCCATCACCTCCTCCATCACCTCCTCATCACCTCCTCATCACCTCCTCCATCCCCTCCTCCATCACCTCCTCCATCACCTCCTCATCACCTCCTCCATCACCTCCTCCATCACTTCTTCCATCACCTCCTCCATCACCTCCTCCATCACTTCTTCCATCACCTCCTCCATCACCTCCTCCATCACCTCCTCCATCACCTTCTCCATCCCCTCCTCCATCCCCTCCTCCATCCCCTCCTCCATCCCCTCCTCCATCACCCCCTCCATCCCCTCCTCCATCCCCTCCTCCATCACCTCCTCCATCACCTCCTCCACCTCCACTCCCCTCTCACCTGCACATGGACTATTCCAACCACTCCCCTCAGGCAGGAGGCTGCGGTCCATCAGGACTAGAACCTCCATAAGAACAGTTTCTTCCCCTCTGCTGTTGGACTCTTGAACACTTTATAATCCACCTCTGACCTCGCACCTCTGACCTAATGACTGTCACTTTATGCTACTGTCACTTTACTGCACTCTTAACGGTCTGTTGTGTGCACCGAGGGCACTTGTGTAGTAACTGGAGAGATTATGTAGATTTTTATTTATGCTTGTTTGTTTTTTTTTTGTTTTTGGCACCGAGAGCCAAAGACATTTCCGAGTTTGTGACGTCCTGTTTCTCACATGGAAATAAAAAGCTGATTCTGATTCTGATGTCTTTACTGTATATTCTGTACTTGTTATACCCTGTTCGCACCATAAAAACACATTTGTAGTTTTAAAGCAGTTTCTGTTCCTTACGATGGTGTTAAAATAATCCTGATTCCAGTGACTTCCTTTTATGGCGTAAGTTTAATTTCCTTCTCGACCATTTTTACTTCTGTAACATTTTCGGGAGTAAAACAGATGAACATGTTTCTTGTAACAGAAGTGGCCCGAGGATGGAAGAGGCTGGAATCAAGACATCCAACACTTTACTGAACATCGATGTCCTACCGCAGCAGAGTCGGTCTTCGGTGAGGCTGCAGGTTTTCACACCAACCAAGCCGGAGCACACCACACTCCAACCATTTCATGTCCGTGTCTGTGTTTGTTTTTAATTTGAAGAAAATATCCACAGACCTTTTATATGAATGAAAATGTATGAGGATGTTTTCTTGATTCTTTGGAAGTCCCTTTATCACTTGGTTTTAGGCACTTTAACCATCAAGCTGCAGCTCAACCATTTGGTAAAAGCCTTTGAAAAGTTATGGACCTGGAAAGCATGAACACACGACAGAAGTCCGACCCAACAGGACCGACTTTGGTTTGGATTTGTTCACTGGCAGTTTGTTAGACTGTTGCCAAGTTCAAAGGCAGGTTATTAAGTCCAAGCAAAGTGATAGAAGACGGTAGAAAACAACATCCAACCCCATGATCAGTGTCTAACAGTCACTTAAGGCAAGGAAAGTTTATTTATATAGCACAATTCATACACAAGGCAACTCAAAGTACTGAACAAAACAAGAAAGCATTTAAATCATAAATAATCACAGAACATTAAAAAAAAAGATAAAAATATAAAACCCCTCAGTTGTAGCACAGTTAAACAGAACTGTCTTTAACCTGGTTTTAAACATTGTCAGAGAGGAGGCCTGTCTCACATCTTCAGGAAGAATGTTCCAGATTTTAGCAGCATGAATCTGAAAAGCAGCCTCCCCATGTTTAGTTCTGACTCTGGGCACTAACAGGAGTCCAGTCCCTGTGCTCCTCAGAGTCCCAGCAGGAGTCCAGTCCCTGTGCTCCTCAGAGTCCCAGCAGGAGTCCAGTCCCTGTGCTCCTCAGAGTCCCAGCAGGAGGCCAGTCCCTGTGCTCCTCAGAGTCCCAGCAGGAGTCCAGTCCCTGTGCTCCTCAGAGTCCCAGCAGGAGTCCAGTCCCTGTGCTCCTCAGAGTCCAGGCTGGTTCATATGGGACTAACATGTCACTAATATAGTTTGGTGCGAGGCCATGGAGAGACTTGTAACAAGCAGAGCTGCTTTAAAGTCTATTCTCTGAGCCACAGGTGCAGAGACCTGAGAACTGGACTAATGTGGTCGTTCTTCCTGGTTCTAGAAAGGACTAATGTGGTCGTACTTCCTGGTTCTAGTCAGGACTAATGTGATGGTACTTCCTGTCACTCCCGTATTCGTCCCGGAAACCAGATTCGTCCGGAAGTTCAGTTTGCGCATGTCAAAAAGTTTAATATGTCCTTAAGTGGTGACTGGTTGAGTTTAGGCGTCTGATTAAGATGGTTAAGTTTAGGGTTAAGGCTGGGTTGGGGTTATTTTATGGGAATGTCTGGTTAAGTTTAGGCAAGAATAGGTAGTTTGTTATATTTACTTCCGCTTCCGTCCAGGTTCCGTGACGTAATCTACTGCTGCGTTTGCTCATTGGATCAAACTGAACTTCCGGACGAATCCGGTTTCCGGGACAAATACGGGAGTGACAAGGACTAATATGGTCGTACTTCCTGGTTCTAGTCAGGACTAATGTGGTCGTACTTCCTGGTTCTAGTCAGGACTAATGTGGTCGTACTTCCTGGTTCTAGTCAGGACTAATGTGGTCGTACTTCCTGGTTCTAGTCAGGAATCGAGCTGCTGCATTTTGAAACTTACTTTCTATGATCTGTCGAAAACAACTTATCAGCAGCAGAGATGTTTCCAAGTGTTCACTCAGGCCTTACTGTCGGCCATCTTGTTTTTCAAAATATAATAATCCTTTATAATCGCACGGCTGTCGCAACAACAATAAAGAATATGTATTTTATTTAAGTCAGAGTGTCTCAGATCTTCTCCTCTTCGTTTCCTAAAGATAAATAAGTCTTACATACAATGGAACTTTACACAATTGACCAATCTTGCTTTTGGCTTTTACACACACATGTTTCCGTCATGAGTCAGTCTGAGTCACACCAAAGGTTTACGGTGAAGTCCGATGATGTCACACTTCTCTGGGATTGTGTAAGAGCTGGACTGTGCCTCTGTCGCTGATGAGGCAACGGCAGCGTCCAGCCGGGCTATAAAACACATCTGTGCTGCCGCAGAGAGACACACACCAGGAGGTCTCTCTCACACTCTGAGCCTCAGCAGACACAGGGGGTCTCTCTCACTCTGAGCCTCAGCAGACACGGGGGGGTCTCTCTCACTCTGAGCCTCAGCAGACACAGGGGGTCTCTCTCACTCTGAGCCTCAGCAGACACGGGGGGGTCTCTCTCACTCTGAGCCTCAGCAGACACAGGGGGTCTCTCTCACTCTGAGCCTCAGCAGACACGGGGGGGTCTCTCTCACTCTGAGCCTCAGTAGACACGGGGGGGTCTCTCTCACTCTGAGCCTCAGTAGACACGGGGGGGTCTCTCTCACCCACATGAGAAGCAGCCCTAGCCTCTACAGGACCGGTCTCTAACTCCCGACACCATGAAGGCCTTCAGCATTGCAGTTGCAGTGACACTCGTGCTGGCCTTTGTCTGCTTCGTGAGGAGCTCGCCGCTTCCCTTCGCCGGGGTGAGTCCTCCAAACAGACTTTAGAGTTGGTGAAGCTGACTTTAGAGTCGGTAAAGCTGACATTAGATTTGGTAAAGCTGACATTAGAGTTGGTAAAGCTGACATTAGAGTTGGTAAAGCTGACTTTAGAGTTGGTAAAGCTGACATTAGAGCTTGCTTTAGAGCTAACTGATGCTGCTCAACAGGAGGCCGAGCAGGAGGAAGCCAGGAGCAATGACACTCCAGCCGCGGACATGTCGGCGCAGTCGGGGACGGTAAGGTCTATTAATTATATACATTTATTATGAAAATATCCTAAATACAAAAAATATTTAGGTTATTTTTTGCTGCATTTTGGTGACTCACTAACTTGACCTGCTCTAAGTCATTTAGACCCTTTTTGACCCAAATTTAGGTTCTACTTTTAATCACCACCTTTGGATCATCTTGACCCAGAGCAGCACAAGGCTCATCCTAACACTACTTACTGTTTTAATTTATTATTATTATTATTTTACTAACAAAAGATAGTTATCAGCTCAAATACACAGTACATTTAGAACATATAAACAGCAAAATGCAAATGTATAATACTCAGGTCCAATGTCATCGAGGAACAATGTCCCACATTTTGTTATAAATCCAGCCTTTTTGGAGTTACATAGTTTTAAAGAAGATTTGCAGAAGATAAAATGAATGCTTGTAAAACTGACATAACTTAACTACAACTTCTAACATTGTAAATACTATAGAACAAAAGCATAAAGGGTTTAAAACAGTGAAAACAGTTAAAAACCAGCCGTGACTTTGATCCATTCATTTCTGACTCTGTTTCAGGTCAAAGAGGTTTTTGAACTTTAAAAACAAACAGTGAATGGAGTTGGCTCCTGAAAGACTTTGAAGAATAATAAAGAAGCTGGAATAATATGCTCACTGTCAGAACTTAAAATGCACTTGTTATTGATGATAAGATGTACTTTATTAATCTCACACAGGAGAAATGTACATGTCACATTTGGCATGGACAGAAACAAGATGTGCAAAAAGAAAGAACTGTGCAACATGTTAAATGCAGGATGTTATGTACAGAAGTGGCAAATTAGAAAGTGTTTGTGTTTCTAATCTGCCTGTGTGTGATCAGCAGGGGGCGAGCAGAGTGAGCAGAGTGAGGAGGCAGCTGAGCCACCTGCCGCTGTGCCCGTGGTTCTGCAGCCGTGTGACCAACAAGGGCCTGGCTCCGTGTGCGGCGCTGCCGTGTGCCGTGATCTAACAGCAATAAGCTTCTCTCTGGATTTACTTCACAAACATGTTGCTTTTTGTAATTATTTTTGTAAACAACTGTGTAATATGTGTGTAATAAAACATGACTACATGAGATGTTTGTTTTTCTCTCAGATTTTAGAAACCAGTAAAAGAGTTTTTTTATATTTATTTAAATATATATACATTTCTGCAAAGATAATAAAAACATATTAGTTCGATGCTGTGATGCCACCTGCAGGTGAAAGCCAGATCCTGTCAGACACCTGAAGCTAAGCAGGGCAGGGCCTGGTTAATGCTGTGATGGGAGACCTTTCGGAACAGCAGATACCACAGTGGGGCGACTGCGGCTGTAAAGTGCCAAACTTGTGCTTCCAAGAAAGACACAAAGTGTGTGTTGGAGGGAGTCAGAGGATGGGCAACACAGATTAGCTGCTGCAGTAGTAACCGTAGTAATAGTAGTAGTAGCAGCAGTAGTAGTAGTAGTAACCATAGTAGTAATAGTAGTAACCGTCATGTAGAGTGAATGAATGACTCCATGAACCCTTGCTTCCTCAGACCCTGGAGAGAGGCCTTGTCCTTTTCCTTTGACTCTCGTGTAAACGTTGGTCCTGCACCTCGGCCCTGACAGTTTGTAATAAATACATATATTTCTTTGTGTCAGGATCATTCGACTTCCTCTGAACAGACTCCAGTCAAAGTCAAACTTATTCCAATCCTAAAGTGACTGCTCACGAAAGCTTCTCTGGACTTTGTCAGATTCTGGAAAAACAGTCGCGGTCAAAGATAATGTCTGTGCTGAAGTTAGGAACGGGAAAAGAGTGAATGACTATAGACCCTCTGCGCCCTCTGCTGGTCTCTGCTGGTCTCTGCTGGTCACTGCTGGTCTCTGCTGGTCACTGCTGGTCTCTGCTGGTCTCTGCTGGTCACTGCTGGTATCTGCTGGTCACTGCTGGTCACTGCTGGTCACTGCTGGTATCTGCTGGTATCTGCTGGTCACTGCTGGTCACTGCTGGTATCTGCTGGTATCTGCTGGTCACTGCTGGTCACTGCTGGTCACTGCTGGTATCTGCTGGTCTCTGCTGGTCACTGCTGGTCTCTGCTGGTCTCTGCTGGTCTCTGCTGGTCACTGCTGGTCACTGCTGGTCTCTGCTGGTCTCTGCTGGTCTCTGCTGGTCTCTGCTGGTCACTGCTGGTCACTGCTGGTCTCTGCTGGTCTCTGCTGGTATCTGCTGGTCACTGCTGGTCACTGCTGGTCACTGCTGGTATCTGCTGGTATCTGCTGGTCACTGCTGGTATCTGCTGGTATCTGCTGGTATCTGCTGGTCACTGCTGGTCACTGCTGGTATCTGCTGGTCTCTGCTGGTCTCTGCTGGTCACTGCTGGTCACTGCTGGTCACTGCTGGTCACTGCTGGTCTCTGCTGGTCTCTGCTGGTCTCTGCTGGTCACTGCTGGTCTCTGCTGGTCTCTGCTGGTCTCTGCTGGTCTCTGCTGGTCACTGCTGGTCTCTGCTGGTCTCTGCTGGTCTCTGCTGGTCACTGCTGGTCACTGCTGGTCTCTGCTGGTCTCTGCTGGTCTCTGCTGGTCTCTGCTGGTCACTTGTGCCCAGTCATAACCTCTGTACTCTCTGTCTTACGGTCATCAGCTCGTCTTGTAAAGACTGTTTCTATATTTCACTGAAGAAACAGCAGTCACTGAAAAATACATGTATTTTATTGTTGTCTTATGTTTTATCTGAACACTTCAAAGCAATGTATTTGTTTATTTTCTAAGATGTAAGATACTAATAACACAAATACATTGATTTAATGTTTATTAACACTAGTTTTCTTTAATTCTAGGCCTTTACCAAATGTTTGAGCTGCAGTTTGATGTCAAAAAGTCTAAAACAGAGACAGGAAGATTTCAGGTCCAAGCTTTGAGCAGATCCAGACTCAGTCCTGTTGGGACTGTGCAGATCCTGATCCAGACTCAGTCCTGTTGGGACTGTGCAGATCCTGATCCAGACTCAGTCCTGTTGGGACTGTGCAGATCCAGACTCAGTCCTGTTGGGACTGTGCAGATCCTGATCCAGACTCAGTCCTGTTGGGACTGTGCAGATCCAGATCCAGACTCAGTCCTGTTGGGACTGTGCAGATCCAGACTCAGTCCTGTTGGGACTGTGCAGATCCTGATCCAGACTCAGTCCTGTTGGGACTGTGCAGATCCAGATCCAGACTCAGTCCTGTTGGGACTGTGCTCTTTCTTTTCTGCTGTAATCTATGACACACTGTTAATCTTGTTTTTTGTCGTAGAAACTGGAGAGACTTTGAACAGAACATGGGAACAGTCCTCCTGCTGAACAGTCCACCTGCTGAACAGTCCTCCTACTGAACAGTCCACCTGCTGAACAGTCCTACTGCTGAACAGTCCACCTGCTGAACAGTCCTCCTACTGAACAGTCCACCTGCTGAACAGTCCACCTGCTGAACAGTCCTCCTGCTGAACAGTCCTCCTGCTGAACAGTCCTCCTGCTGAACAGTCCTCCTGCTGAACAGTCCTCCTGCTGAACAGTCCTCCTACTGAACAGTCCACCTGCTGAACAGTCCACCTGCTGAACAGTCCTCCTGCTGAACAGTCCTCCTACTGAACAGTCCTCCTGCTGAACAGTCCTCCTGCTGAACAGTCCTCCTGCTGAACAGTCCTCCTTCTGAACAGTCCTCCTGCTGAACAGTCCTCCTGCTGAACAGTCCTCCTGCTGAACAGTCCTCCTGTTGAACAGTCCTCCTGCTGAACACTCCTACTGAACAGTCCTCCTGCTGAACAGTCCTCCTGCTGAACAGTCCACCTGCTGAACAGTCCTGCTGAACAGTCCTCCTACTGAACAGTCCTCCTGCTGAACAGTCCTCCTGCTGAACAGTCCTCCTGCTGAACAGTCCTCCTGCTGAACAGTCCTCCTGTTGAACAGTCCTCCTACTGAACAGTCCTCCTGCTGAACAGTCCTCCTGCTGAACAGTCCTCCTGTTGAACAGTCCTCCTGCTGAACAGTCCTCCTGCTGAACAGTCCTCCTGCTGAACAGTCCTCCTGCTGAACAGTCCTCCTGTTGAACAGTTCTCCTGCTGAACACTCCTGCTGAACAGTCCTCCTACTGAACAGTCCTCCTGCTGAACAGTCCTCCTGCTGAACAGTCCTCCTGCTGAACAGTCCTCCTGCTGAACAGTCCTCCTGCTGAACAGTCCTCCTGTTGAACAGTTCTCCTGCTGAACAGTCCTCCTGCTGAACAGTCCTCCTGCTGAACAGTCCTCCTGCTGAACAGTCCTCCTGTTGAACAGTTCTCCTGCTGAACACTCCTGCTGAACAGTCCTCCTACTGAACAGTCCTCCTGCTGAACAGTCCTCCTGCTGAACAGTCCTCCTGCTGAACAGTCCTCCTACTGAACAGTCCTCCTGCTGAACAGTCCTCCTGCTGAACAGTCCTCCTGCTGAACAGTCCTCCTGCTGAACAGTCCTCCTGCTGAACAGTCCTCCTGTTGAACAGTCCTCCTGCTGAACACTCCTACTGAACAGTCCTCCTGCTGAACAGTCCACCTGCTGAACAGTCCACCTGCTGAACAGTCCTCCTGCTGAACAGTCCTCCTGCTGAACAGTCCACCTGCTGAACAGTCCACCTGCTGAACAGTCCTCCTGTTGAACAGTCCTCCTGCTGAACACTCCTGCTGAACAGTCCTCCTGCTGAACAGTCCTCCTGCTGAACAGTCCTCCTGTTGAACAGTTCTCCTGCTGAACAGTCCTCCTGCTGAACAGTCCTCCTGCTGAACACTCCTACTGAACAGTCCTCCTGCTGAACAGTCCTCCTGCTGAACAGTCCTCCTGTTGAACAGTTCTCCTGCTGAACAGTCCTCCTACTGAACAGTCCTCCTGCTGAACAGTCCTCCTGTTGAACAGTCCTCCTGCTGAACAGTCCTCCTGTCCTCCTACTGAACAGTCCTCCTGCTGAACAGTCCTCCTGTTGAACAGTCCTCCTGCTGAACACTCCTACTGAACAGTCCTCCTGCTGAACAGTCCTCCTGCTGAACAGTCCTCCTGCTGAACAGTCCTCCTGCTGAACAGTCCTCCTGCTGAACAGTCCACCTGCTGAACAGTCCACCTGCTGAACAGTCCTCCTGCTGAACAGTCCTCCTGCTGAACAGTCCTCCTGTTGAACAGTCCACCTGCTGAACAGTCCTCCTGCTGAACAGTCCTCCTGCTGAACAGTCCACCTGCTGAACAGTCCTCCTGCTGAACAGTCCTCCTGCTGAACAGTCCTCCTGCTGAACAGTCCTCCTGTTGAACAGTCCTCCTGCTGAACAGTCCTCCTGCTGAACAGTCCTCCTGCTGAACACTCCTGCTGAACAGTCCTCCTGCTGAACAGTCCTCCTGCTGAACAGTCCTCCTGTTGAACAGTTCTCCTGCTGAACAGTCCTCCTGCTGAACAGTCCTCCTGTTGAACAGTCCTCCTGCTGAACACTCCTACTGAACAGTCCACCTGCTGAACAGTCCTCCTGCTGAACAGTCCTCCTGCTGAACAGTCCACCTGCTGAACAGTCCTCCTGCTGAACAGTCCTCCTGTTGAACAGTCCTCCTGCTGAACACTCCTGCTGAACAGTCCTCCTGCTGAACAGTCCTCCTGTTGAACAGTCCTCCTGCTGAACAGTCCTCCTGCTGAACAGTCCACCTGCTGAACAGTCCTCCTGCTGAACAGTCCTCCTGCTGAACAGTCCACCTGCTGAACAGTCCTCCTGCTGAACAGTCCACCTGCTGAACACTCCACCTGCCGAACAGTCCTCCTGCTGAACAGTCCTCCTGTTGAACAGTCCTCCTGCTGAACACTCCTGCTGAACAGTCCTCCTGCTGAACAGTCCTCCTGCTGAACAGTCCTCCTGTTGAACAGTTCTCCTGCTGAACAGTCCTGCTGAACAGTCCTCCTGTTGAACAGTCCTCCTGCTGAACAGTCCTCCTGCTGAACAGTCCTCCTGCTGAACAGTCCTCCT